AACTTTCACATCATCTCAGATTCTCAATTGGGCAATCAAATTTCAATTATTGTTCAATTGGGTTAATTAACTTCAATTTTGTTTCAATTGAATCATTGAATTCAATTTGGTTTCAGGTTTCACAACATTTTGAAAAAAAAAAAAAAAAAAAATTAATTAATTAATTGATAGTCATACTACAACATATGTTTCACATAAATGCTATGTAGCTTATCACTACACCACGTCACAAGAGTGTTAAAATTTGTAAAAAAAATGATAGAATGTCACGATGATATAGAAATGACAATAATTTCCGTGATTATAAAGGGTTACGCTACTGTGACAGGGCCGTGACAGCAGCTGTTTGAGTATCAAAACTCAATTATAAATTCATTCAACCGACTCATCATTGTTCAATACAGAAAATTTGAAAGGCAACTGAAAGGTTAAGGACCCCACTCACTCCACATAATAAATTTAAAAAAACAAAATATATATTCATATTATATTGTGTGTGAGAGAGAGAGAGAGAGATAGAGAGAGTGTAAAGTCTAACCTTGCGAGTAAGAGGGATGTCAGGCACAGAGAAATCGGTGAGGCTGCACGTATGTGGTGCACCCCAAGTGGGTGCATCAACTGGCAGGCACTTGCATCGTGGCATTGACTTCCAATCGTAAGAAACTGAGTCTATTCGCAGAGAAGAAATCAGTGGCGCCGGCGTTCCAGGCGTCGCTGGCGCCGACATTGTCAGAGTTTCGACTTCGAATTCCGGCATTCCAGTGAGTAAAAACCAAATCAAAGACCTCTTTTTTTTTTTTTTTAAACGATTGAGTAAGATAATTCAACAATGGATAGAAATTACATGATTTGCAGGCTTTTTTAACGTTTTTCCTACACAATCTTCAGGACAGTATCCAGATCGATAAAACCAAGTACAACAATAATCAAAAAAGCATTGCGAATAAAATTTTTATGAAAATCCAACTAATTTTTTTGGGGTTTTTTTAGATAGAAGATGAAGAAAAGTGGTTGCAGTTACATGCTTTGAAGGTTTTTATAAATTTGCAGCTACGGAATAATAAGAAAATCTAAAGTATCCAGCATATATCAAAATTGAGATCTAAAGATTTGTATATACTGAAATAAGATTTTTATTTGCATATATGAAACAGAGAACAGAAGAAAAAACTAGATGGAGCATGGAGGAGGATGAAAAATGAAGTGAGAGAGAGAAATACTTATATAACAGTTTGAGAGGTGATGGTGATGAGAAATGGAGGAGTATAGCAGAAACATCCAATGAATGGGAGAGAGAAAAAGTCAATACTCTCCAGGGGCAGCCAGCAAGGCCCCACTATATCCCCACCAATTCTATTATTGATTATATTATACATTAAATTTTACTCTGTGCATTACCATTTTGAAAAAATACTCCACATCGAAAAATGAACAACAGAGGCTTTGACAATCTATCAAAAATCGCGGCCCTACATGAACAAACAATTCCCAAAAAAATGTGGTTCCCACTCCTATTGTGAGTGTTAGTCAAAGCTTTTGTCGATATTGTTCGATTCATGTAGTGCGGTTATTACTATTTTGAATTAAGTTAGTGTGTCAGATGAATTTTGACATCTCGATTGACCTACACTCACATTGGTATGGAATCCGCGCCGATCTCATAAAAATAAAAAATGTAAAAAATGGCACCCCACTTACCCCGATTGTGAGTGTAGGTCAATCGGGGTGTCAAAATTTATCTGGCATCCCAGCATGATTGTACTATTTTATGGGTGATTTCCACCTGATCCCTACCTTTTGTAAGTGTAGTACTATGTCCAACCTTTTATTTATTGCATATATTCCTTTAGTCTTTTAGAATTATAGTATTCATATCTTGAGCTAACAGAACAAGTTTATTTGAACGTTAAATGATCATATGATGCTCATATAGTATCGGACTCAATAGAATTCTATTAGATTTTGAGAAAGTGGTGCGTTAATTTTGACACTTATACGATGTGATGTAGTGGTAATTTGATATATTGACATACAACGATTACGTGAAAAATCCATTGTGATATGTTGTAAATTAAGCAATTTTTATGAATTTCAAATAGGCATGTAATAAAGTGGAGAAAATTTTAAATCATTGTGAAGTTTAATTTGACCCAATTGAGATTTTGCCAAAAGTTCATTATTTGCAGATGAGATTTAACTAGAGCCATTTTAACTACAAGATTTTTGAGAAAAATTCATGGAAGAGCCTGAATAATTGAAGATTGCATTATATACTAAAAATAAAATAAAAATTAAATTTCAACCTAAAATTAAATTGAAGGCACATGGTGCAAGTGGGCTAAGTCCACGAGGTGTGACGCAAATGCCCATGGAAATCGGATTTCTTGCAACTCTTGGACGGTTTCCTAACAAGAATAAAAGTAAAAGTAATGTTATTTAATAATAGTGGTGTTTTTATAAGGTGACAGTACCTAAAATAATAAATCATTGATTTAAATAAAAAGTAACGATTATGAATAATTTAATAGGACTCATCATTTTCTACAAGCTAGAGCTATATAACATTATTCTACAAGTACCATATTAAATAAACATATAATTTCCATTTTCCCATTACTTACACATTCATCCATTACATCTTCTCATTTGTTAAAAAGGTGTGATGTGTCAAAATATTAAAAATTGTATTTAATTGACTGATTTTTGCTAGTAGTATATCGGGGTGTACCTAATAATATACACTCCACTCACATGGTGTGAGGGATCCACTCGAATAAAACATCATTTCTTTCACATGGATCCCACACCTATGTAAGTGAGGTGTACACCATTCGGTACACTCTATTATGTACCACTAAACAAATTCTTAATTGAAAGTTAAAAATACGACAAATACTAGACAATAGATCTCAACTTTTATTAATATCAATTGATAAGAGTTCTCTTAGACTCTATTTGGATATATACTATAAATTGATTTAAAAATTCAGTTAAAATCAAATGTTAATTTTAGCTACATATTTATAATTATTATTTATTATTATCCACACATTTTGTGAGACTCACTATTATTCTCTTTATAGAATTAATTTATAAATTTTCCAAATGAAGGCTTGTGTAATGTCTCAAAACTAGTGAGTTTATCAACTAATGTTGGGAGATTTCAATACTAATTAGATATCGAATATTACACATAAATATGATATTTTATGGAAACTTCTTTTTTAAAATCAAATTTGAAGGGTAAGTTTTGAAATATAGTCAAATTTGGAAGACTTTCTAAAGATTTGTTTGAACCTCATTTTTTGGAAGAATAAATTTTGCAATAATAATTTGGAGAATCTGTGATTAAAATACGGAAGTATTTTGAATTTACATGCAAAATTATTTTATTTGGATAGTGTGCTATTGAAAAATTAATTTTAGAAAAAATAAGTTTTTAAATAATGGGCTCAAATAATTGTTAAAGGGTTTTTACACGTATATGGGGTTGACACCTCGGATGAGAGCCCCTTCACAAGAAGGGAGGCCCGCGTGTATCTGCAGTTGACACCCCGGATGTACACATGGCAAAACTCGTTGCTAAGAGTAGTATTTTTATGTTAAAGTTCGAAAGTATCCTTTTCATAAGAATTGACATATGCTTTGTAGGCTATGATTACGGCGTACGAATAGTTGCTGCACTTATTTGGAGGTCAAATCAATTAGAGAAAGAACTAGATTTAGGCTCCGTTTGGTAGGAATTTTTTGCCCCAAAAAATTGATTTTTTGATCGTTATTTTACTATTCAAGCCGTAATTTTTGACTTTTTCTCTCACATGTGGACCCATTTTTCTTTTAACGGTCAAAAAATCAATTCTCAAAATCCATACCAAACGGGCCCATAATGTATTAACTTAGAGAATCAAAATTGAAATCTCAAAATTGCTTTGTAAAAATAAAATTAGGATTGTGCATATGAGAACTGACACAGAATGATTAGAGAAGAAAATTCTACTCTAAGTGAAAATAGAAAAATAAGAAGGACCTATGAAAATGTGATTAACTTTCAGCTCAAATGTGAGCAGGTACTTTATATAAGCATTTTTCAATTTGCACAATTATGATGGGCTTTGGCCAACATCGTCAAACTTTTGGGATTAAATTATGTTTTTTTTTGTTTTAAGTTAGTTTAAGAATATTTTAGTCAATTTAGTAATTTTTTTTAGTTTTATTTAAGTTTATCTATAGAATTAGAATTTCGTTTTGATTAGATTCAGTTTAACTATTTAAATATATGTTAAGTGTATTAAAATCCTACAGTCCTTTTTATTGATTAATAATATTTCAATTCTCCCATTATTTGATGGATTCCAATATTTCTTACGTCCATTTGAATGAAATTCGAGAAATACCCATTTGTATGTTACGAACAAGATTCGATTATTATTATTATTATTATTCATGTTTCTATCTTATGTTAGGTAGTATTAGAATTACGGTAGATGATCAGAGTAAGGCTATTGAGGTAAGGTTTGGGGTGATTGAGACTAATTGTAAGATTTAGGCAATCAACTTAAAGACGTGCTAGCTGCCTTGAATCTTAGAGGTAGTCATCATAGAAAAACACCCCGTGTTCAAGTTTATTGATCTTTGCTTATAAGTTTGACCCTAATTCGTTATTATGATCATCATAATCACTAAGATGGTTACAAAGTCATAGAGATTCCTGTTTTCAATAGGAGTCTAGATATGGAGTCCTTCCTTCACTAGTTGAATGAGGCAGAAAGGTTTTTTGAAATCATGGAGGTTAGCGAAGAATATAATGTTGCAATTGTTGCATACAAACTTAAGGGATGGGTAGGAGTATGGTAGCAGAGTATGTGTGATGAATGTTATCAGCTAGGACAACCACCCATAAGGGATTGTATCATCATCAAAAGAATTGTTGCAAAAGATATTTCTTCCTAGAGACTATGTGCATGCCTTGCACCAACAGTTTTTGGAGTGAAGGCAATTAAGTCATCTTGGGGCTGCCTATATTGAGGAGTTCTTAAGGCTACAATCTCATTGCGATGTAATTGAGGCTAGTGATTATCAATTCGAAGGATTTGTAAGGGGATTCAATTATGAGATTCAGGACAAGATGGGCGTTTCAATCCATTTGTTCATTGATAGGCACCAGAGAGATGGCGTTGTGAGTCGAATCACTGCTTTCATAGAATTATAATAGATTGTAATCAAAGAAAAATCGACTACTAAAAAGTGTTAGCAGTGTGAAAAACTTGAACATAAATCGAATTTGTGTCCTGAACTATGACCAATACATGTGGCAAATATAATTAATGAAGGTGATGAAATCAGGAGTATGTCGGAGATGAGGAAGAGGCAAAGGAAGAATACACCAATGAAGTTTTGGAGAAAACGGGGAGACTTTGTGTGGATAGTGCAGAAAATCTTATGCTCACCCAAGTAGGAAGAGTTGACTCAGCGTATGAAGATCTTTCAGGCCAAGTATCGAGTCAGTGATGTTGTAGTCTAATCATAGATAGTTGTCGTTGTGAAAATGTAATTGCCAAGAAACTAGAGGATCATCTGAAGTTGCCAACCAAATAAAACCTATTTCTATATTTTAATTTCAATATCTTTATTTTGAATTAAAATCTGAAATTATCAAGTTTGTAGTTCTTAAATAGTGCATGCTTCAAAGATTTTATACTTTCTCTTGAAATTCTTAGATCACGCTTAAATTTCTTTCTTGATTGTCGAAATTTAAATCACCAAATCATTTAATCATTGAACAAGTAATTGAAAGCAGTAAGCATGTAATGCCCCGACCCGCTGGACGGAAACGTCACTCAAACCATTGTACTTTAGCCGTAAAGTTAGTTCAATGTATTTTTAGTAGAAGATATAAAAATTAAATTTTAGAATTTAATTAAAGATTTTTTTTTATTTAAACAATAATTTCAATTCTAAAAGAAAACAATTTCAAAATTTTTTTTTGAATGGGTTCCATGCATGTAACGACTATTGACGTGAAATTTTTGCAAAACTTAAAAAGTAATATTACTGTTCCAGTTTTTGTCTCAAACAGTAATTGTCAAAATAAATTTTTTTCATAGCTATCGTACTTGAAACTTCATCAAATTTTAATGTAAGGTATTAAGCTCCTTATAATATGACATATTCAAAAACTAGCTTCCGTCGACATCATATGAGATATTAAAATATTTTTCAAAACTCAGCAGCGACCCGATTG